AAAAGTCAATCAATGTAATCCAACACATCAACAAAAAGAAATATAAAAAACATATGATACTATCAATAGATGCTGAGAAAGCTTTCAATGAAGTACAACACCCATTTATGATAAAAGCCCTTGAAATTCTTGGGATACAAGGAACATAACCTCAACATCATTAAGGCCATATATGACAAGCCCATAACCAATTTCATTCTCAATGGTGAAAAGCTGAAAGCATTTCCCTTAAGATCGGGAACAGGACAAGGATGTCCACTGTCACCACTGCTTTTCAATATAATACTGGAAGTCCTAGCCAGAGCAATAGGACAAGAGAAAGACATATGAGGAATCCAAATAGGGAAGGAAGAAATAAAACTATCACTATTTGTAGATGATATGATAATATAGAGAACCCCCAGAACTCCACAGAAAAACTAATCAAACTAACCAATCAGCTTAGTAAAGTAGCAGGATACAAAATCAACACACAAAAATCAGTAGCCTTCCTATATACAAACAATCAATCTGAAGAAGAAATCAAGAAAACCATCCCTTTTATTATTGAAACAAAAAAATCAAATACTGGGAATAAACCTAACAAAAGAGGTAAAGGACCTATACAAAGAAAACTATAAAACACTGTTAAAAGAAATAGAAGAAGACACAAGGAAGTGGAAAGACATCCCCTGCTCATGATTGGAAGAATTAACATTATCAAAATGGCCATCCTACCAAAAGCAATTTACAGATTCAATGCTATTCCAATAAAAATTTCAATGACATTCTTCAAAGAAATGCAACCAATATTGATGAAATTCATATGGGGCCAACCAAAAATCCCAAATAGCCAAAGCTCTCCTGAAAAAAAAAAGAAGGGAATAGAGGTATCACACTCCCAGACTGCAAGCTATACTACAAAGCCATAATAAACAAAACTGCATTGTGTTGGAACAAGAACACACACAGAGACTAATGGAAATGAATAGAAAATCCAGAAATAAACCCACAGATTTAAAATCAACTAATCTTTGACAAAGGAGCAAAGAATATGCAATGGAGCAAAGAAAGTTTGTTCAGTAAATGGTGCTGGGAAAATTGGGTCGCTACATGCAAAAGAATGAAGCTTGACTACTACCTCACACCATGCACAAAAACCAACTCAAAATGGATTAAAGAACTGGACATAAGACCTGAAACCATAAAATATATAGAAGGAAATACAGGCGAAACACTACATGACATACACCTCAGTAACATCTTTAAAGACATATCATCCAAAGCAGTTATAGTAAAGGCAAAGATAAACAGCTGGGAGTACATCAAATTAAAGAGCTTCTGTACAGCAAAAGAGACAGTAACCAAAACAAAGAAACACCCTATGGATTGGGAGAAAATTTTTGCACACAACACTAATGATAAAGGACTGATCACAAAAATCTACAGAGAGCTGAAGAGACTCAACAAAATCAAAGTAAACAACCCAGTCAAAAAATGGGCAGAAGAGCTAAAAGAAACTTTTCCAAAGAGGAAATGTGCAAATGGCCAACAGGCATGTGAAAAAATGTTCAACATCACTTATAATCAGGGAAATGCAAATCAAAACTACAATGAGATGCCATCTTACACCAGTGAGAATGGCACATATTAAAAAAACTAGCAGGGCCTCCCCGGTGGCGCAGCGGTTGAGCGCTGGGTTGCGAAGCTGCGCGCGGCCTCTGCAGCGCCGGTTCGATCCCCGGCTGCTCCCCGGCCACCAGAGGAGGGTCCCACATGGCGCGCAGACCTCTCCTGCCGCCCGCTGCTCCCCTCAGCAGTGTACTTCGGTCCTTCTGCCTGCTCTGCTCCCCACTCTGGCTCTGGTGAATTCTCTCGCCCTCCCGCGCTTCTGACTGTACCCAGTGCATGTATAAACAAAACAAACAAACAAACCAGCAAACAAATAAATAAAGCATAAAAAAAAAAAAAAAAAAAAAAAAAAACTAGCAACAACAAATGTTGGCGAGGATGTGCAAAAAAAGGAACTCTCCTGCACTGCTGGTGGGAGTGCAAACAGGTCCAACCACTATGGAGAGCTGTGTGGAGATTCCTCTGTTTGCTAAAAATGGAGCTTCCATATGATCCAGCAATTCTACTCCTAGGTATTTACCCAAAGGACACAGAAACATTAATTCAAAAGGGCACCTGCATCCCTGTGTTTATAGCAGCACTGTTTACAATAGCTAAGCTATGAAAACAACCCAAATGCCCAAAAATCGATGACTGGATCAAGAAGATGTGGTACATATACACCATGGAATATTACTCAGCAATCAAAAAAGGTGAACTCATGCAATTTGCAGAAACATGGATGGAACTAGAAGGGATCATGCTCAGCGAAATAAGCCAGAAAGAAAAAGAAAAATACCGGATGGTCTCACTCCTAGCAGAAATTTAGAAAACCTAAATAAGGGACCAGGAAAAAGACTAATTATAATAAAGTAAAAATCAAAAATCAAAATCAACAAACAACTCTAAACCAGAGACACGCCACAGGGGTGGGGGGAGAATGGAGTATATAACCAAGATGAAAATGCATAGATTGTGCAAAAATGAAAAATGATGTAAAAAATATATAAAAATAAATTTAAAAAAGAAGTGTATTGTCCTTGTCCTGTTGCCATGTTTTGAGAACTGCTATAGTACAGAATCACTTTGGAAGATATAGCTGCATCTTCTCCCTTTCTCTTGGTCCTATGTAGAGGGAAATGATATAGCACAGCTCTAGATTGCACAAACACTTTCAGAGAAAATGGCTCAAATGTGTAGGATATAGGGAGAGCCAGATAAGGTAAGGTGATGACAGTGATGATGATTGTTAAGTCCTTGGATGTGTAAATGCATGCTGTATCCCATGCACATGTTGTACTCTGTGCTTTCTCCCTGGCCTACTCTTGTTTTAAATATGTACACTTTATGTGATATATACACACAATGGAACACCATGCAGCCATAAAAAATTTAAAAAATGAACTGCCATTTACGACAACGTGGATGGGCCTAGAGGAGTAGGTTATGCTGTCAATAAGTGAAATATGTCAAAAGGAGAAAGAACTCATACTCATACTGTATGAGTTCACCAATTTATGGATATAAACAAACTGAGCAAGTGAAAAAAGTAAAACAAGCCCTTAGACTCTGACAACATAATGGTGGTTACCAGCGGGGAAGTGGGAAGGTAGGGTGGGCCCATTGGTTGGTACCAGGTGGATGGTCACTGCATATTTGACAGCTTGGTGTGATATATGCACACTTGCTGAGGTAGGAAACTGTACACCTGAAGCCTATACATAGTGTAAACTAATGATACCTCAGTGAAAAATACTATAAATAAATACACAAACTTTAGTCTCACTTTAATTTCGCTCTTTATGTTAGTGATGACTCAGGTGAAGCATCTTTCTGCCTGTTAAGTTTGTTGGAAGAATATTCCTGAAGGGGGATTTGTCTTGTCCTCCTGAAGCCTGAGATACAGGTAGGCTTCTAGGATGGATTCCTGATGACATCATTCTTAGCAGAGCTCTGCACCTGGGGTGTTAGTACAGTTGTACCTCTCCACACTCCTACCCAACTGGAGAGATCCATAAGCTCTGCGCCCTTACTAAGGAAGATAGGTCAAGCAACAGTCTCGTTCCTCCAGTTCTTCCTGATTCTCATTACAGATTTATCCTAGGAAAGTAAAGACTATGTTACCATTTGATCAGACAGTATCATCTGCATGTAAGTGACTGCCTGGCAATGATGACATGGCCCCATTATGATTTGCCTGACAACTTAGCTCATTGTTGTAGGGTTTTATGATAGAGAGGAAGGAAGAACAACAACTAGTGATGCTGAGAAGTAGGTAGGGTAAGAGTAGAACTGGTGCGTGCTTGCCCTTCTGGCCCTGGATATTAATCCCTAAGGTGTTGCTGTGTGAATAAGAAGTGTTTCCACCTACCTTCTAGGATCATCCCCTCACTTGCAATGCGGCAACCTGGGCAATGGAACAGCACAGAATTTTTTTTAATCATGCTTTCTTTTTTTTTATCTTTTTTTTTTTTTTAACATCATTGTTCATCTTTAAACAGTATTTGCTTCCCCCCCTCAGGTGTAGTCCCCATAGAGTTTCCTTCATCAGTGCACCCGTGCACCATCACCTCAGTCCCCTGTGCTCCTCCCTCCCTCCCTCTGACCCCTCTCCCTCCTCCTTCCCTGCAGTATATCTCTGATTTATAATTGTTTTTGTTTTGTTGTGTTTAGTACTGTTATTTTTTTTACACTGATATCTTATTTGGTTTCCCTCTATTCCTGCTATAAGTGAAGCCATCCCATATTTTTCTTTTTCCTTCTGGCTTATTTCACGGAGCATAATTCTAGTTTCATCCACGTTGCTGTGAATGGCATGAGTTTATCTTTTTTGATTGCTGAATAATATTCCATTGTGTATATATGCCACATTTTCTTGGTCCAGTCATGGGAGTGCAATCTGGTCCAATCACTATGGAAAACTGTCTCGAGATTCCTCAGTCTACTAAAAATGGAGCTACTATATGACCCGGCAATTCTACTCCTAGGGATCTACCCAAAGGACACAAAAACATTGATTCAAAAGAACACCTGTACCCCTATGTTTATTGCAGCACTATTTACAATAGGTAAAACCTGAAAACAACCCAAATGCCCAAAAATAGATGACTGGATCAAGGGACAGCACCGAATTTGGAAACAACTTTAGGTTCAAGGCTTAGCTCTGAACTTCACTCCTGTGGCTTGTACTTACTGCTTATAGTTACTCTGAACCTGTTTTCTAATTGGTAAAAATATAACCATGCCTGTCTCATGTGATAATAATACTTATAAGCGAGATTATAGATGAGAAAGCTGAAGAACATGTACAAATAATAATAGTTTTGTAAAAGTCTTTGTAGTGCCAGTCGGGTGTCTGGTTTTTTCTCCCTCACCCTCAAGACTCATGATACTTCTATTCTTTTCTCCAGGTTACCTGTGCATGACAGATGAGTGGTTCTCGGAATATGTCTACGAAGTAGTGGTGGACAGGAAGCATGTCCCTGAAGAGGTGCTAGCTGTGTTAGAGCAGGAGCCCATAGTCCTGCCAGCCTGGGACCCCATGGGGGCTTTGGCTGAGTGATAGTGCCTCCAGCTCTTTCCTCCTCCCATGGGACCTGAAGTAGCTGCAAAGGACAGATCCAGGGACTGAAGCCAAAGTTACACAGGTGACTCTGTGTCAACCAGAACACAGTCAGACTCTAGGATTTCTCCTCCAGGGACCTCTTTGGGGAAGTGTGCTTTATGCGGAAACAAAATATTCTTAAAGGGAAAAAAAAAAGGGAAAGATCAGGTCATGCTATCTACTCTCCTCATCTCTTACAGCTCAGGATCTCTTAGCATTTTCATCAGATGTAATTGTTTCTCTTAACTTTGTACAAAAGGTTTGGTCCATTGTTTTAATAAGATAGGAGAGGATGAGCAATTGAGGTGTGTGGAAAGAAAATGGACCTAATGCTCCTTGTTCCTAGACTAGAATGGGGGGAGGGTTACCCTAAGATTTGGGCTCTTCAAGCTGCATGCTGCCTGACAGTATCACTGTCTTTCCTAGATGGCAGTCACTGAATTCAGTTTTTTCAAGGTAATTTCATGTGCCTCTAATAGCCCAGAAATGGGAGGTTGATCAAGTCTGACATGATTCCTTCCTATTGTTCTGAACTGTGGGGGATCACAGCTGTACTTGAGTCAGGGTTAAGTAGAGGCTTAGAGAAAGTTGGGTGAGAGAACAACCAAAATCTTATCATGATCTGAATTATAATCATTAGGGGGAGCTCTAGCCAAATGGTTTAACTTCTGCTTCTGGAATTGGGAATTGGATGGGCAAGAAAAGACGATATCCATTCTTTCTGACAACAAGATGGTGCTGAGAAGCTTTTGAATAAAACACTTTGCTAAATGAGAGTGAGTTGGCTTATTTTATCTAAGAATTATTTAGTTGTAAAGGAAAGCAACCAGGTGACTAATGTTCTTCAAAGTGAAAAAATAGCTTCTCTGTGGGGTATGTCATCCTTCCCAGCCTGTGCTGCTCCTCATTGGTTTCTGCAGAGCACCACCATATTTAATAGAGAGCTTATACCCCTGTCATTTTACTATCCTTCCCCCAAGATCCGGGGTTCCCACACAGTGAGGCTCTGCTGGGTCCAGCCTTGGAATGGACTGGAGAGTGTGTACTGAGAATGGGCCTCCCTTTCACTGAAAACAAATAAGTCTAGCACCCTAATCAACATTTTCCATCAGTTCCTTAGTCTCCTACCTTTCTGACTCTCCAAGTATCTTTTCAGTCCTAGCGAGGATATTGTATATTACTATACTTTCCAAGATAACATTAAAGCCTCAAGCTTTTATCAGAGTGTTTATAATACGCTAGTAATTCTGTTCAATCCATCTCATCTCTAACAGCTCAGGATCTCTTAGCATTTTCATGAAATCAATCCACTTCTAGACACTTGCAGGATGAAATCCCAGAACAGCGCTTAAAAGTATCTAGGAAGAAAAGATAAATTACCTCCAAAGTAAAGTCAATTAGATTGACATTTAACTTCTTATCCACAACTATATAAGCCAGACTGGTGACCTGTATCTTCAAAGTTCTATGAGAAATTACCTGTATATCTGGAATACTATATTCCCAATGAAACTGTCTTGCAGGAATAAGGATGAAATAAAACACATTTTCATAAAAAATCTGTTGCCCAAAGAGAAGGGGGCTGACCCAATACAAATATAACCAGTCCATAAAAAGACAAGATACGGGGCCTCCCCCGTGGTGCAGCGGTTGAGCACTGGGCTGCAAAGCTGCCTGCAGCACTCTTCAGTGCCAGTTCAATCCCCAGCCGCCAGCGAGGGTCCCACATGGCATGCAGACCTTTCCTGCCATGTCTGCTGCTCCCCTCAGCAGTGTATTGTGTATTTCGTCAGTCTGTTCTGCTCCCTGCTCTGGCTCTGGTGAATTCTCTCACCCTCCCACACTTCTGACTGTACCCAATGCTTGTATAAATAAATAAATAAATCTTTAAAAAAAAAAAAAAAAAAAAAGACAAGATACGGGGAGAGAAAGAAAATATAGGACAAATAGAGTATCCAAAAATAAGATAGAAATAAATGTGTCAGTAATCACAATTTATATAAATAGGTTAAATGTTCCCCAAAAAGAAATTAACAAATTTAAAAAAAAAACTGCATAAGCTGATTGCTAGTAACATCAGCAAACTAGGATATAAGGAAAGGGTAGGAGAGAGCTAGCAAGCAGATACTCATCAAAATTCAATCTCAGGTAACTATATTAATAACTGGCAAAAATAGGGCAATTCTGAATAACCAAATAGACTGATTCCAAGGTATATTATTCTCTGCCTCCATAGGGTTGTATAATACATGGTGATCCCGGAAATAGGCTTTAAAACAAAACCAATTATGGGGCCTCCTGGTTGGCGCAAGGGTTAAAGACAGCCCTATCAAGTTATCACCAGCCACAGCAGCACAAGTTCAATCCCCGGCCATGGAGCTGACCCACACGGTGCAGCAGACCTCTCCTGTCTCGCTCGCTGTACCCCTCAGCAGTGTATTTCAGTACATCTGCTTGTTCTGCTCCTACTCTGTCTCTGGTGAATCCTCTCACCTCTCCCACACCTCTGGCCTGAACCCCAGTTCTTGTATGCATAAATAAATGAATCTTTGAAACAAAAATTAAAAAAAAACAAGTATATCCAGAGAAATACGAAGATTATAAATTAGTATGCATCTAATAACATAACTTCAAAATATATAAAACAAAAGCTGACACCATACAGAAAAGTAATATAATGGGAGATTTTAATGACTTTGAACTATTGACAGATCTATCAACCGAAATGAGTATATAAAAGATTTAAGCATTTAGTAAGTTTGATGTAATGGAGAGCTATTGAACACTGCCTCTAACAACTATATATTCTTTTTGAGTACATATGAAACTTAAAAAACTTGGTCACATATTGGGTAGTAGAGTCAACCTCAACCAATTTCAAAGGATTGTTAGACCACACTCAAACCACAATTAAGTTAGAAACCAAAATTAAAAGATAATTTCAAAATTAACTCATGGAGCCAAGAGAAATCACAAAGGAAATTTGACCAAAACAATAAAAATACTACATGCCAAAACAAGAGACACAATTAAGTTGGTACTTAAGTTTTATTTTATTTTTTAAGATTTACTTATTTATTTATACAAGCACTGGATACAGTCAGAAGCATGGGAGGGTGAGAGAATTCACCAGAGCCAGAGCAGGGAACAGAACAGGCAGACTGACGAAGTACACTGCTGAGGGGAGCAGAGGGAACGGCAGGAGAGGTCTGCACGCCATGTGGGACCCTCGCCGGCGGCCGGGGATCAAAACGGCGCTGCAGAGGCTGCCAGCAGCTTCGCAGCCCAGCGCTCAACTGCTGCACCACCAGGGAGGCCCGGTACTTAAATTTTAGAGCACTAAAAGTTTTAGTTAGGATGTAAGAAAGGCAAAAAATTGAACTCAGCATCTGTTTCAAGAAATTAGAACAGCAAAATAATTAGAAAGCTAGAAGGAAATAAGATGTGCAGAATTAAACATAGGATCAACATAGCGACAAGTTTATTCTGTCTTTGAAAATGAAGCAATTAACAGATCTTTGGCAAGACTGATTAATTAAAAAGGCATACACAAAAGAAATTTAAAGGCGGATACTATTACAGATACTGAAAAATAGAAGATGCTTGTCAACATTGCCAAAAGTGATGTGAAAGGGCTGTGTTTAGAACAAATAATTTCACAAACTCAGAAGAACAGAAGAGAAACAATAAGCTGAAAAGCAGATAGCTTTGAAAGACTTAGCAGAGCTGAATCCCCAAGCCTGTGGTGAAGGCCGGTGATAAGCAAGCCAATCTATATTGCATAATCTCCAAATGCTCAACTATGGTAGTGCCAGATAGCTTCACTTTGGGAATTGGGAGTGAAAGGAGGGCTACCAAAGGCTGGGTGTCTATTAGATCCCTGCCCTACTTCGGGCAACTAAATGTCCCTCCCCAAATTTATTCTCCAGAGGAAAAAGAAGTCATAGTGTGGAAGTCAGAAATAGAGCTAAGAATGTTGAAAATATCATAAAAGGATTAAGTGAGCATTTACATTCTGAATGTCTTTAGCAAAAATTGGACTCCAAAAACCCTTAGCGTCCAGGTGATCAAAAATCTACTCTTGGGGGCCTCCCCGGTGGCGCAGCGGTTGAGCGCTGGGTTGTGAAGCTGCCGGCAGCCTCTGCAGCGCCGGTTCAATCCCTGGCTGCTCCCAGCCACCGGAGGAGGGTCCCACATGGCGCGCAGACCTCTCCTGCCGCCCGCTGCTCCCCTCAGCAGTGAACTTCGGTCCTTCTGCCTGCTCTGCTCCCCGCTCTGGCTCTGGTGAATTCTCTCACCCTCCTGCGCTTCTGACTTGTACCCAGTGCTTGTATAAATAAATAATTAAAATAAATAAATAAATAAATAAAGGTCAATGTACTTTTTCTCCTTAAAAAAAAAATTTTTTTTTAAATTGTTTAAAAAAAAATCTACTCTTAGGAATCTTGATAAGTCCAAGTGGAAAGATTCAAAGAACTATTTTATGGCATAAGGAATTATTTTATGAGACTAACAGTCCTGACAAATGTAGTAAACAAATATCACCCACAAACATAGATGCCCAAAGGACACAGAAACATCAATTCCAAAGAGCACCTGCACCCCTATGTTTATAGCAGCACTATTTACAATAGCTAAGCTTTGGAAACACCCAAATGCCCAAAAATAGATGACTGGATCAAGAAGATGTGGTACATATATACCATGGAATATTACTCGGCATTCAAAAAAGATAAACTCATGCAATTTGCAGCAACATGGATGGCGCTGGAAGGGATCATGCTCAGCGAAATAAGCCAGAAAGAAAAAGAAAAATACCGGATGGTCTCACTCACAGCAGGAATCTAGAAAACTTAAATAAGGGACCAGGAAAATGAATAACTATAAGAAAGTGAAAATCAAAATCAACAAACAACTATGAACCAGAGACACTCTATAGGGAGTGAGGGTCAGGGAAAGGAGGGATTGGGGTCAAAATAAGGGGGTTGCAATTGTATGGGGAATATAAAAATAAAATTAAAAATGATTTAAAAAATGCCTTATAGAAAAGGTCTAAAATAATTAAAAAAAAAAATAGATGCAGAAGTTCTCAACCAAATCTCACAAACCAAATTCAAAGAAAATCTTCTTAACCAAATATTTAATAAAAGCCATTTCACCATGTGACAGAGCAATTCCACTCCTACGTAGCTGAAGAATACAAAAACACGAATTTGAAAAGAAGTATACACTCCAGTATTCATCAAAGCACTATTTACTACAGCCAAGCTACAGAAACAACCTAAACATCCAAATACAGATGAATGGATGAGGAAGCTGTGGTGTGTATACACAATGGAACACTACTCCACTGTTAGAAAAAGATAAACTCTTCCCATTTGCGGCAACATGGATGGAAATGGAGGGGATTATGCTAAGCAAAATAAATCAGAAGGAGAAAGAAAAATACTGGATGTTGTCACTTACATGTGGAATGTGAGATACCAAACAAAGGGTCAAGTAAAGCCAAGCTAACAACAAACTCTAGAGAAAGCTGATTATAAAACTGAGGCTACCAGAGGAGGTGAGTGGAGGGGTGAGAGCACAGTGGGAAGGGGGCACAATGGGCTGTGGGTGCTTTGGTGGAAGGTGTGGTGTAGTAACAACACCTTCGGAGGGAGATCTATATATCTAAAATAATGATGTAAACCAGTATTAACTCAATTTTTAAAAAAGACATGAAAAACAAATGGACAAACATAAAATAATGTGTGTGTGTGTATATAACTATTTCAAATTCTAATAAATGCCTAAACT